GTTAGCCAAATAAAAGCCCTGCTTGTTTACTGTGACCAAAGTCAAAGCTCTGATTCCATACGCTTAAAAGCCATGGTCAATTTATTATATGCTAGTGGTTTACGAGTCTCTGAACTGGTTAGTATAAAATTAACTGATATTTTAGTAAATCAACTGTCGCAAAATATTAGAAAAACATTTTCCATAATTGGCAAAGGTAATAAGGAAAGAATGGTGGTAATCAACGAACAGGCTGCTAATCATTTGTTAGATTATTTAACTATTCGTAGTAATTTTATCAGCAAAAAACACCCTAAAAGCCAGATTTATTTATTTTGCTCAGCGTCTAATAGCGGTCATATGACTAGACAGAATTTTGCAATAATGCTAAAACAGGTAGCTATTAACGCTGGATTGAATCCTGATAATATCTCCCCGCATGTCTTGCGTCATAGCTTTGCTAGCCACTTGTTAGAAGGTGGGGCAGATCTTAGAGTAATCCAGGAATTACTAGGACATGCTGATATTACTACTACCCAAATATATACACATATACAAACTAAACATTTAGAACTGGCTTTAAGTCAGCATCCACTTGAATTAACTTATGCAAAAGTAAATAAAGCCAAAATCTCGCGATAATGTTTATTTAATGATTTTGTAATAATTTATCTAATTTACCTTGTTCTTCAAGTTTATAAAGATCATCACATCCACCAATATGCTTACCATTTATGAATATTTGTGGTACTGTATGTTGCCCGTTAGCTTTGGCTTGCAATTCTGATCGTTGTTCTCTAGTGTAATTGTCTACAATTATTTCTTCATATGATATGTTTTTTCTATCAAGAAGCGCTTTTGCCTTAATGCAATAAGGACAATGTGTTAATGTATAAATTACGACCGTGTATAATATTATATTACTCATAACTATTCCATTTTTAATAATCTAATAATATTATTCACATAAAATAAATTTTTACAAGTATAAGTTAAGATGGTTAACAAATTCTCAATAATATCCAAATATACTCCAGCTGGAGATCAGCCAAAAGCAATTGAAGCAATCATTAAAGGTCTTGAGTCCGAAGTGCATTCACAGATACTTTTTGGTATTACTGGTTCTGGCAAGACTTTTACTATGGCAAATATCATCGCAAGGACAGGTAGACCTTCACTGATTATGGTGCATAACAAAACCTTGGCAGCTCAAATTTATTCAGAAATGAAGGCAATTTTTCCTAATAATGCTGTTGAATATTTTGTATCATATTATGATTACTTTCAGCCTGAAGCATATATTGCCAAAACTGATACTTATATTGAAAAAGATTGTTCGATAAATGACCAGATAGATTTATTACGACACTCTGCTACTAGATCTTTGCTTGAAAGACGAGATGTCATTGTAGTAGCCTCAATTTCTTGTATTTATGGTCTTGGTTCACCAGATCTATACTATCAGATGACCATAAATCTTACATCTGGCGAAATCTATCCTAGAGACAAATTACTTGATGATTTAGTAAAATTGCAATACGAACGGAATGATGTTGGGTTTGAGCGAGGTACATTTAGAGTAAAAGGTGATAATATTGATATATTTCCAGTACATTATAACGAAAAAGCTTGGAGATTGTCATTTTTTGGCAATCAACTTGAATATATCAGCGAATTTGATCCGCTTACTGGTAAAAAATCAGCTAGGTTGGATAAAGCAGTAATTTACGCCACATCTCACTTCGTTACCCCTA